GGACCCCCAACCACTGCGCCACCAGGGAAGCCCCTATAGCTTCCTTTTTTTAGTCCCTATATCATACACATTTTTCCATGACAAACATACTGCCATGAAATGGAATCTGATGGTGCCTCATGATGTGATCTGATGGCGTAATCTGATGGTTACACAAGTTTATATATTTAACCATTTCCGTAATTATGGTCATTTACGTTACCTGTAGTGTTTTACTATTATAAACAGGTGCTGCAGGGAACATCCTTTTATGTGTATTTGTGGATAAGTACAGGTATTTCTGTAGTAACATGCCTAGGAGTCACTGTATTAAGAGCATTTATACATTCTAGGTTTTGATAGATCCATATCAGGTTACAGTCCAGAGAGAACAGGGTGTATGAAGTGCCCTTTTCTTGCATTTCCAGTCATCAGTGATGTCAGTAATGTATGGATGAATTGGAAAGACATCAGTCCAGTATAATCTCCTTCTATTCAAGAAAGAATTGTTTCCTCACGTGTGAGTCTTCTCTTAGGTTCTTCAGTAAAGTTTCGTAATTTTTTTCATGTAGGGCTTTACATTACATAAAAGTTAATTCCTAAGTATTTTAGTTTGTTATTAATGGCATTTTTCATAAGACTTTAAAATTATTGCTGATAGATTTATTTCCAGTCACTTTACTGAATTCTTCTTACTCCTTATGCACCAGTCCAGCCACACCACCCACCCAAATAACCATTATCCTTTTACAGTAATTACCTAAACACCAATATAGGTTAGTCTTCCATTTTAATAAATTGATATGTTTTTACATCTGCTTTATTCCTTAAGTTCCCCTGCCATCTCATTTAAGGAAATTTATAGGCTGTTTGGCTAGTAGTTCCTTACAGTCTGTCTTGCTATTTGCAAACTCAGGATGGTGCAGCCAGCATATCCCTCTGTTCTCTCCATTTCCTGCCGGTGGGTGACTGCATCTAAAGGCTTGATCCCTTTGTAAAGACTGTAAATAGTGTTTGTTAGGGATTTAATGTCTGATTGGTGTCTTCTGATTGATCCACTAATTAATTAGTGGGTTGCAAAAGATAAAATTCTAATTATTTTTTTCATGATTTGTTAGAATACTTTTTTATATAGTGATATACTTCTTTCACATAGCAGGATAAGTGCTTGCTTCTTTCCCTTTAAAAGTTTTTAAGATAAAATACCTCATGAGTTCGTACTAATATATCCAATCCAGATTCAGACTACAGGGTTTTTATTTGATCAGTTCTATATTAAGTATTTTACGCTGAGAACCCTTAATTTTTAAAGACACGTGGGATGATGAGTTAGAATAACAGAACACTACCACTAATGTGAATATCAAAAGCACTGAAACATTTTTTCTTTGCTGTGATCTCTGAATTGTCAAAGGATGATGAGACCAGCATTCAGTGTATCAAATAAAAAAGGACAGACAGGTGAATGGCACTGCTCTCTACAGTAGGGTGAGCTGCCTGGTCAGGCAGTATCTGGGCCAAGCAGAGGTTTGGGGGACAGCATGCATGGGTTGGCAGTAGTGATTGATGTCCTCCGCAGGAGCAGCTGCTGCGTGAGATGTGTCGGTCATTTCATGGTTGGCATGAAGGTTTTTAAATGTCTTGACATATCTAGAGGCAACTGAGTTGCTTTTTTTTTTTTTTTTTTTTTTTTTTTTTTTTTTTTTTTTTTTTTTTTTTTTTTTGGCTCCTCCTCAAGGGCCCAGCCGCTCCGCGGCACGTGGGATCCTCCTGGACCAGGGCATGAACCTGCGTCCCCTGCATCGGCAGGCAGACTCCCAACCACTGCGCCACCAGGGAAGCCCCTGAGTTGCTTTTTTTATCTATCTAAATTTTCTTTCTTATTTTTGTTTTAGTTATTTTCAACTAGTTGCTTTTTTTGGACATGGTTGCCAAGTCAGTGCTGCAAGTCTGTCTCCCAATGGAAATGCCTGGTGAACTTGCTGTCATCTCCAGACCTTGGCAGGGATACACACCTAAAGGATAGCTTGGTGGGTTACCAACATGCCTGTAAGAATGTCTACATAATATGGGGATCTCTCCAAATAGACAGACCCTAATCAATTTGCTTAAAAAGTCCTTAGCAGTCAGGATGCTGTCCTACTGGGGCAAACTTCTGATTTATAGTTTGGGCTGTGAAGGCCCCACTAGTCCAGTATTTTATGTATCTTTATATAAATTACATACAGATCCACACACACGTGATATGGACTAAAAGGCCAGGATTTCCTGATATAAAACTATATAGTGAAATAGCCAAGTCAGTGATATTACCTCCAAAAAGATGTGTTTATGGTGGCAGTGCATTTCAGGGTTAGCAGGGATGTTACCAGAACTAGCTGCTGGTCTTCAAACAGTGATCAACAGCAATGTCTCTAGGTTTGCCTTTGCAGCAGTGAAGCCTGTCCAGCACTAAGAGAATTGGGAATTATCACAAGTACAAGTCACTTGGGGCTGGAAGGAGCCTTAACATGGTTGATGGCATTGATTTAGGAACCGCTTGTGTAAAGAGAGGCATCGGAAACAATATCCTTCACTTGAAAGCTACCTCAGAGCCTTCCCTCAGGCTGACCCAGGGAAATTCCAGTGGCTGATTCCCTGTCCTTATTTGGGTTTACTTGCCATGTGGACAGTGCTGGGAGATGGGGAGATGGAGCGAGAAGACCTTTCAGTCTCCCGTCTGAGCAGAGCCACTGGCTGTGACCGAAGTCAGTTCTGAGGTAGAGCTTCTCTTTGAGCTCAGGAAGTCTCTTGGGGTTTTACCCAGATGTTTTTCTCCTTGTTTTAACTTTGCAAATTTTAGGGGAGAAATGCTCTGAGTGATGGTTTGACTTAATTAGGCACATAACCCATTTTTATTATAGAAAGAAATATACATATAAGCAAAAAGATGTCACTTAGTCCCACTGTTCAGTTAACCAGTTCACATCTAGTGCATATCATTCCAGATATTTTTGGTGTACATACACATGTATAAATATTTTTACAAAAATAGCATACTATGAATACCATCTACAATGGTACCTTGGCATCTTTATCTTACTTGATGTGCATATAAGTGTATCATTAAGACTGTGTAGCCTCCTGCTGGACAGATACACAACACCTAAAACAACATCTTTGTGTATCTCTGGTATAATTATTTCCTTAGGATAAAGTCCTAGAAATGGAATTGGAAGGTCTAAGAGATGATGAATATTTTGAGGCTTCACACCGTTGTCTTTAGGCAGTATCTGTTATATCTTGCTTCCAAACAAATTCCTCTGTGTAGCCAGTGCCCAGGCCACAGCTTTCAGCACAGGTGAAGACGGCCAGGACGCCCCAGTCGACACTCCTGCCCAGCCTGTCGGCCTTCAGGTAGTTGAGCAGATGAGGCATGACCTGGGAAAAGGATGGCACAGTCAGAGCGCTCCTTGGCGGTGACGAGCACGGTCTGCTTTCAACAGACCAGACCTTCCTGGGGATCCTGGTCTCTCCATCTCCACATTCCACAGCAAGATTACAGACATTATGGTGTTAACATATTTAACAATCTAAAAATACTTTGCAACTCTATGTTTCTTTAAAGTCCCTCTCTATTTGGTGTCTTTCTTTTTCGTTTAAGAAAGAAGTTCCTAAGTATAATAAGATCAGCTGATCTATTTGACCTGGCTGTTAACCTAATTATTTTTTTTATTAATAATATGCCACAAAATAGGGATGAGGCTTCTATTTGGGCAACTTTTATTTTGGGTTATTTACAACCTGAATAGCAGATGCTGTTACTATGACTCTGAAGAAACACTGACCTAGTAGTATACAAAAAGGACATCTATTGATGTATTTGTATAGACTAGAAATGGGTCTTAGGAGTCAGTGGTCTCGTGGGAAACAGTAAGAGCCAGCGCTGCCGCTGCTGTTATGCGATTGCCTTATACAACCGCTGTCAGCTCATCTGGGGCATGAGTCAGCTCTGGCAGTAAGAACCAATTAGTTTTGGATCAGTCCACAAGAATCCTTTTTTTATCCTAAGAAACAAATATCATTTTATAAGGTTAGTGAATCCACAATTCAAGAGCATTTCCTCCCAACCCAAACGGATTTTGATGCTAACAACTTCTTGTGTGGGGGGGTATTTTACCTTAA